TGGGACTCTTAATGTGTATATTTCTAATTGACCATGACTCTTCATGTCCATGCTTTCAATTGTCTATGGTCCCTCCCAATAAGCTAATGTCTTAACTTCTCAGTATCGTACCAGGGGTTACTGTTTGCCTAAAGCCTTTTTTGAACTTTTAATGTGCAAAATTGCCCTGAGGCCGGGTGTGGTGGCTCACAGCCGTAATCCCTGCACTTTGGGAGGCTGAGGTGGGAGGATGCCCTAAGGCCAGAAGTTTGAGACCAGCCTGGCCAACATATAAAGAAAAAAAGCAAAACAATTGCTCAGGAATTCCATCCCCCTCCCACCTCCTTGGCAAAGCAGCAGGAGTGCTAACTAGCTAGTGCTGCTTCTCCTATACTGCTTAAATGCACATAATTAACAATAGTTGATGTGCCCCTGTGTTAGAGTAGAATCCTGGGTCCTTGCTCCATTTGCATTACTGCAGGAGCTTCTAAATAGCCTGAATTCACTCTCGTACTGTTAATGTGCATACTTATATTTGCTCTTACACCTTTTTACCAAGTAAGGACACCACCCACTCTATTTACATTCCAGTAGGAAGTACCTACTACTTAGGATCCTTAGATTAGTAAAGTTAGCATGCATAATCTTAGTTGTTACATGCACATTTTCAGTTGCCTACAGCTGTGCCTTTTATGAGGACTCCTGTACTTATCAAAGCAGAGAGTGGTAACCAACATTAAGCCCTTCTCTTCAGAATGTAGATGCATATAATTGCAGTTGTCAATGGTCCTTCAATTAGACTTGGGTTTCTGACCTTTCACACCCTCTTTGCTTTACTGCATGGGGTACTATTACTTAAGGCCCCTTTCTCAAACTGTTAATGTGCCTAATGACAATTACTTTAGGATCCTTCCTTTTGACACTCCTTTTGAAGGACAGCATGGTTGGTGACACCTAAAGCCCCATTTCTTGGCCTCCAATATGTATGATTGTATTTGTCCAGGTTGTTATGCACTAGAGAAGGAAAGTCCTCCCCTCATCCCTATTTTCATTCTAGCAGGAAGTGCCCACCCATAAGACCCTTTTATTTGGAAAGTCTAGATGCACAATTGTAAGTGACCACAAACATGCCTCTTGGACATTAATGTGTGTAATTGTGCACTGCTCATTCCATGTGAAATAGGTCCTACTCTCAGACCACTTTTGCAGTACAGAAGGGGTGCTAATAACCAAGTCCCCTTTTCTTGGCCTGTTATGTGTGATTATAATTGTCTGGGTTCCTATGCACTAGAAAAGGAGGGTCCTCTCCACATATCTCAGCAGGGAGTGCCCACTCCCTAAGACCCTCACATTCGGACAGTCAAGGTGCATGATTGTTAAGTGAATACAACCATGCACTTTAGACATGGATGGACATAACTACACACAGCTCATCACAGCTGAATAAAATCCTACTTTCAGACCCCTTTTGCAGTACAGCAGGGGTGCTGATCACCATGGCCCCATTTCCTGGCCTGGTATGTGTGTGATTATATTTGTCCCGGTTTCTGTGTATTAGATGTGGAAACCTCCCTTGCCACACCCCACCCCCAATCTCTCTTTCCCTTCTAGCAGGGAATGCCTGCTCCGTAAGACCCTTACATTTGGACAGTTAAGGTGCACAATTGTAAGTGACCACAACCATGCACCTTGGACAATTAATGTGCGTAACTGCACACGGCCCATCTCATCTGAATAAGGTCCTACTCTCAGACTCCTTTTGCGGTACAGCAGGGGTGCTGATCACCAAGGCCCTTTTTCCTGGCTTGATATGTGTGGGATTATATTTGTCCCAGTTCCTGTGTAATAGACATGGAAGCCTCCCCTGCCACACCCTACCCAAAATCTTCCTTTCCCTTCCAGCAGGGAGTACCTGCTCCATAAGACCCTTACGTTTTGACAATCAAGATGCACAATCGTGAAGTGACTACAGGCATGTACCTTGGACATTGATGTGCGTGACTGCACACGGCCCATCCCATCTGAATAAGGTCCTGTTCTCAGACCCCTTTTGCAGTACAGCAGGGGTGCTGGTCACCAAGGCCCCTTTTCCTGGCCTGTTATGTGTGTTGATTATATTTATCTCAGTTCCTGTGTAATAGACATGGAAGCCTCCCCTGCCACACCCCATTCCCAGTCTTCCTTTCCTTTCCAGCAGGGTGTGCCCATTCTGTAAGACCCTTACATTTGGACAGTCAAGGTGCACAATTGTAAATGACCACAGGCATGCACCTTGGACATTAATGTGCATAACTGCACACGACCCATTCCATGTAAATAAGGTCCTACTCTCAGACCCCTTTTGCAGTACAGCAGGGGTGCTGATCACCAAGGCCTCTTTCCCTGCCCTATTATATGCGTGATTGTATTTGTCTGGGTTCCTGTATATTAGAAAAGGAAGCCTTTCCTGCCCCACCCCCACTCCCAGTCTTCCTTTCCTCTGCAGCAGGGAGTGCCCACTCCATAAGACCCTTACATTTGGACAATCAAGGTGCACAATTGTAAGTGACCACAGCCATGCACCTTGGACATTGATGTGCATAACTGCACATGGCCCATCCCATCTGAATAAAGTCCTACTCTTAGACCCCTTTTGTGGTACAGCAAGGCTGCTGAACACCAAGGCCCTTTTGTCTGGCCTGATATGTGTGTGATTATATTTGTCCCGGTGCTTGTGTAATAGACATGGAAGCCTCCCCTGCCACACCCTAACCACAATCTTCCTTTCCCTTCCAGCAGGGAGTGCCCGCTCCGTAAGACCCTTAACATTTGGACAATCAAGGTGCACAATTATAAGTGACCACAGACACGCACCTTGGACATTGATGTGTGTAACTGCACATGACCCATCCCATCTGAATAAGGTCCTATCCTCAGACACCTTTTGCGGTACAGCAGGGGTGCTGGTCACCAAGGCTCTTTTTCCTGGCCTGGTATGTGTGTGATTATATTTGTCCCGGTTCCTGTGTAATAGACATGGAAGCCTCCCCTGCCACACCCCACCCACAATCTTCCTTTCCCTTCCAGCAGGGAGTGCCCGCTCCATAAGACCCTTATATTTGGACAATCAAGGTGCACAATTGTAAGTGACCACAGCAGGCACGCACCTTGGAATTGATGTGCGTAACTGCGCACGGCCCATCCCATCTGAATAAGGTCCTGTTCTCAGACCCCTTTTGCAGTACAGCAGGGGTGCTGATCACCATGGCCCCTTTTCCTGGCCTGTTATGTGATTATATTTCTCCGGGTTCCCGTGTAATAGACATGGAAGCCTCCTCTGTCACACTCCACCCACAATCTTCCTTTCCCTTCCGGCAGGGTGTGCCCACTCCATAAGACCCTTACATTTGGACAGTCAAGGTGCACAATTGTAAGTGACCACAGGCACGCACCTTGGAATTGATGTGCGTAACTGCGCACGGCCCATCCCATCTGAATAAGGTCCTGTTCTCAGACCCCTTTTGCAGTACAGCAGGGGTGCTGATCACCATGGCCCCTTTTCCTGGCCTGTTATGTATGTGATTATATTTCTTCGGGTTCCTGTGTAATAGACATGGAAACCTCCCCTGCCACACCTCACCCACAGTCTTCCTTTCCTTTCCGGCAGGAAGTGCCTGCTCCATAAGACTTACGTTTGGACATTCAAGGTGCACAATTGTAAATGACCACAGGCACGCACCTTGGACATTGAGGTGCATAACTGCACATGGCCCACCCTATCTGAATAAGGTCCTACTCTCAGACTCCTTTTGCAGTATAGCAGGGGTGCTGATTACCAAGGCCCATTTTCCTGGCCTGTTATATGTGGGATTATATTTATCCAGGTTTCTGTGTACCAGACAACGAAGCCTCCTCTGCCCCACCGCACCTACCTGCAGTCTTTTCCTCCCAGCAGGGAGTGCTCTACAAGACCTTTACATTTGGACAATAAGGTGCACAATTGTAAGTGACCACAGGCACGCACCTTGGAAACTGATGTGCATAACTGCACACAGCTTATCTTATTTGAATAAGGTCCTACTCGAAGACTCCTTTTGCAGTATAGTTGGGGTGCTGATCACTAAGGCTCTTTTCTTGGCTTGTCCATATTCCTGCCTACTAGATAAGGACACCTTTTCATACACTCTCTGCTTTTCAACAGGGAGTACTCACTACTTCAAGATTCTTATATTTTTCCAAAGTACATGGTTTTAATTGACCACAGCAATGTCCCTTGGACATTAATGTACATAAGCACCACAAGGTTCATCCTAATTAAACAAAGTCTTACCCTCTCACCCTCCACTTGCAGTTTACCAGGGTTGCTGACCCCTAAGTCCCCTTTTCTTGACTTGTTGATATGCATAATTGCATTTATGTGGGTTCTTGTACCCCAGATAAGGATGTTCCACCTCTTTTCAATACTGGGTGCCAACTCCTTATGATAATTACATTTGGACAGTTAATGTGAATGATTGCAGCTGTCCATAACCCTATCACTTCTCGGACAATTGTACCCCCTTTGGATTACTTGGGGCATACCACTTTCCTCCAAGGCCCCTTTTGGTGAACTATTAATATACATAATTGAAATTTTCGTTTCTCTTTGTCAGTAGATTAAGGTCATACCCCCTCACCTGTCCTTTGTAGTACAGCAGGATGTCCTGATCAACCAAAGTCCTGTTGTTTTGGACTGTTAATACATGCAATTACATTTGCTTGTGGTCTGTGCACTAGATAAGGATCCTACCTACTTTCTTAGCATTTTTAGCAGGTAGTCCCCACTTTTCAAGACTCTTTCACTTGGAATGTTCGTGTGCACAAACACAATTTTCTAAGCATGTTCCTGTACCTTCTTTGCTTTTAGAGCAAAGTGTAATAGACATGGAAGCATCCCCTGCCACACCCCACCCACAATCTTCCTTTCCCCTCTGGCAGGGAGTGCCCGCTCCATAAGACCCTTACATTTGGACAATCAAAGTGCACAATTGTAAGTGATGGGGATGCTATTCACTTAATGCCCCTTGTTTTGGACTTAATGTGCATTAATGCAATTGTCTGCCTCTTCTTTTAGACTAAGACTTGATTTCCACATACTTCTCTTCCATCAGGGGCATGTTAACTATGAATGGACCCTTTTCTTTTGAATATTAATGTCATAATTCTATTTGTGGACCTGTGTAGTAGAAAAAGACCCTGTGTTCCTACCACTATGCTTTGGATTGCTACTGAGGAGTGCTAACTACTCATAATCTCAGCTCTTGGACAATTAACATGCAATAATAACAATTATCAAGGGTACTGATTATTAGATAAGATTCCTTGATCTTTTTTGCATACATCGGGGATACTGACCCACTAAGGTCCCTTGTACTATTAATGTGCATATTTGTAATTACACATGTTTCCTTCTGTTAGAGTGGGATATTATGCCCTTGTACCCTCTTTGTATTACTGCAGTGGCTGCTGACTACTCAAAACTTCTCTTGGGACTGTTAATAGGTACAATGGCAGTTATCAATGGTTTTTCCCCTCCCTGACCTTGTTAAGCAAGCACCCCACCCCACCCTACGCTCAGTTCCCGTGGCATAATAAAGTATAAACATTGCAGTATTCCATGCACTTGTCCCTCAAACAGTGGTCCATACTCCCGCCCCATTTGCATTGCTCCAGTGTGTAAAATCACAGGTAGCCATGGTGTCACGCTTTACATCCTCGCCCTGCCCCTTGTGTGCCCTTGGCCCCTTTTTACAGACTATTGTTCACAATCTCAGGTGTCCATATATTTAGCTATTAGATAAGATTATGTTCTCTCCCTTCTCCGTTCCCCCTACCGTGCCCCTTTTGCCTCTTTGCTGGGTAATGTTGACTGGACAAGGCCTTTTCTCTTAGACTTAAAAAATTATCAGTGGCACTTTCCTTGGTCCCACCCATTATACATGAACTCCTCTACTTTCTTTCGCATTGCTTCTGAGTAGCGCTGACTACCCAAAGCCCCTTCTGGGTTATTAATGAACACAGTACCGATTGTCCCATTTTTCAGCACATCAGTCCAAGAGCTCCCTACCACTTTGGTGTGTTTGTGCAGTGTTGACTATGAAAAGCAGGCCTGAACTAAGTGGATAAGCCTTCACTCTTTTTCTTTCATTTATTAATGATCCCAGTTTCAATTATTATCAGATTCTGAGGACAAGAACCATTCTTGCCCACCTCTGTTACTGCTTTACTGTGCAGAGTACTCAAAGCAAGTCAGACCCAGGAAGCTGGATTGCCATCTTCTATTGTGTTTCCAGTGCACACTATCAAATTGCCTCCCCAAGAAGGAAGGTTGGCACTTCCTCTGCATTCTTCTTTCCAGAGAAGATTGCCTGGTTAAAGAATCTCTTGTCATCTCTTTTGTATATTGTTATTGTAAAGTGCCAAATGCCAGGATACAGCCAGAAAAATTGCTGTTGTTATTATTTAAAAAAAAAAAATTAAGAAAGACATCTGGATTGTAATGTGGACTCAATAACCTGGTCATTATTTTTTGAAGCCAAAAATCCATTTATACTATGTACTGGATGACCAGTGTCATTTTAACTGAGGGTGGTGAGTCTGTGGATAGACCACTGTGACTCTTGCTATTTTAATATTATCAAAGGCTTTCTAGAGTGAAACTCTTAAGACCAGCATCTTTGTGTGGGCTTTACCAGCACTTTTAGAAGAACTACCTACATTTTATAATCCTTTAATTTCTTCACCTGGAGCACCTCCCCCTACTTATTTAGAGAAGATTGAAGTAAAACGATTAAATAAGAAAACGTATGCAGAGGTGCTTTTAGAAGATGCCACCTTTTTGATTAATCTATTATGTAAAATGAAGAATCTAATTATACTAAAAATTTGAAGTAGTTTGAAGTATCACACTGAAGGTGAGGACTTAAAAATGATGGAACCAGTTCCCTATTTCATAAGAAAAATAAGCCAAAATTAAATACTATATTGTATATAAATTTCAAAAGTGAGACAGCTGTCTAATAGAAATGAATAATATCCCAGCCACTAGTGTACAGGGTGTTTTGTGGCAAAGGAGTATGTAATATGGAACTGCTCAAGCAAATTAGTCCTCACAACAGTAGTTCTTTGTAATAACTGAAAAAGAATACTGTTTCTCTGAGAAGGATGTCAAAAGATCGACCCAGCTCAGGGAGCAGTTTGTTCTACTAGCTCCTCGGACAGCTGTAAGAAGAGTCTCTGGCTCTTTAGAATACTGTAAGTACTACTTTGTAGCTATTAAGTAATCTTTTTCCTATTCTATTTTCTTTCTCTTAGATGCCACCTATAGAAAAGTCAGAGGGTCCAGTAAGTTTCTTTCCTTCTTCCCACCTCATCTGCAATATATATATATATGTATATATAGATAGATGCATACATAAATATGCACATGTGAGTTAACCAGCAAAACTGTAGAATTAATATTGTGAACCCAGCTCTATGCTAGGTTACACTGATAACCTGGGTAGGAATGATATCGTCTTTTATAATTTCATTCCTGAGATGGTTGTATTGTTGAGGAGCTAATGTAAGCACACTTGAAATAACTTTAGAAAATAATAATCAAGTGGTGTTTTGTGTGAACCATAAGTAGTAGATTTAAGAAGGGAACCCACAAGGATTTGAAGTTGATAGGATAAACTTAAAGAAGTGGGTTTGCTTTTTCTCTTTAAGCCAAGATAGGATTAATACTGCAGCCATCTTGATAGTCTAGTTGGTTTATTTTAATGTCATTTGTTTTTTACCTCTTTTGAAGCCATGGAAAGAGATTAAAGGGATAGGGCATAGCCATTGTGTTTGCCAAGGCTGGCAAATTAGTGATTGTTAAATCTCATAAGCTTGAGTATTTTAAAGTTCAGAGATTGAAGGTATAAATCTAATACTTTGGCTCTTTGCACAATTTTGCTACATTTCTGCCCAAGAACAGATGATCATGGATAATGAATATCATAGATACATTTTTTTAGTTTGGAATCTTTTTGCCAAGAGGGTAGTGGAGAAGTGTAAGTCAAAACCTTGACCTTCCTTGTCTACTTTATGCTGTAGTTTATATACACTCTTTCCTCCCACCTTTTGCAAAGCTAAAAGAATCTTAGCCTCCTTAATGTAAAACAAACACAATGGTCCAGCTGAAAAACTGTTTAACATAACATTTGAAACTTTTTTTCTGGTGCACATTCATGCGTCACAGCAGGAGCAACAAGAACTATGTCAATGAACTGGCTTCACTTATAGCCCATTTTAATTCATATCCCTATTTCCTCATGGCTTGTTTCCATGCCCCCTACCCCCCTCTCCAGATGCTTAACGACATTGTCTGGCTGACTGGGGATAATAACATCATGGTTTTGAGCCTTCTTGGAAACGTGGTCTGTGCCATTGTTTCTCAAACTTAATGTTTCAGGATGAAACACCTTCTAAAGGAACAAAATTTTCTGAGATCCTAAAAAAACATGTTTTGAGGAACACTGAATTAACAGTTATTTGAAATGTAAATATGTTTTCCAATTTCACATTGTCTTTGCCAAAGATGTGTTTTGTGTAATTCATGCAGAACTTGGGGATCCATGAGAATATACCCCAAACCCCCAGGGTTATCACCCTGATTTGAGAAACACTGGTCTATGCTTATGAAATCTTCTATTGCTAATTAAATTGTCATTCATTGTCAACATACAGCTATAATTATTATTGAATTTGTTATAAAGAAATGAATTTAGAGATGATTCTGTGTCTTAGCTCAAGAAGAAGGATGGCTCGATTTTAGGTGGATTGATTCTACTAGATAGCTTCCAAAGGTGAATCTTGAAGCTGTATTTAAATTAATTGCTTGAAATAATTTCCACCTTTAAGAAAAATCTCTAGCAGTTATAAAAGGGGATGCTCTGGAAATGTGGGCATCTTCAAAACAGAGATAATTCTTGTGTTAATCCAACAAATGTTATTGTGCCAGGTGCTGCAATAAATAGCAAAACCAAATACATGATTTCTATCTAGGAATTTGCTTTCTCATGGAGGATGCAGAAGGAAATCATTACGGTGTTGGGCAGAAACACCTAGATTTTAGTCCTGGCTCTCACTTTGGTTCAAATCACCATCAGGCTGACCATCTCGAGATTGCCAGTGAAATAAGATAGGGGCTTAAATCAAATACTTCAATCCCTGAAAGTGACATTTTGTCATTCGGAAAATTTTCAAAAGACTAATAAACATTTTTTTCCACATTTTTCTAAATGATTATTGTCATTTCTTTTCTGACTTTTCCCTTTATAAAACCTTAACATGTAGGACTGGAGGAAGTTTTCTGACCATTTTCTCATATCCCCTTTCAGCTTTATCTTTCTGCAACTTCCATTTCTCTAGCCACCTCCCAAAATTACAGACGACTATGAGACCCAGGGCTGCCGTGATCAGGCATTCATAATTTCTTTTCAGGGTGTTTGTGCCCTGGTTATCAAATGTACACCTGGATTGGAGTTTTGTGTCTTAAAGTAATGAATTAAGAGTTGACCTTTGTTGACTGCTAAAACAGTCTTACATGTGAAAGCATCCTGGGAAAATCTGTTACCAGCTTAAAGAGAAAGAAACTAATGATTATATCTGAACTGAGCTAATGTTCCCCCAAACTTTATAAGTTTGGATGTCAAAGAGTAATGATAGGTATAGTTAAACAGGGCTAATGACTTCCTCTGTCTTGTCTTAAAGACTGGATTGGGAGAAAATTGACCAGTGCTAGACTTTATTATGGGTAGACTTAAAGTATTTCCCTTAACCAATTACAATGCTGTTCTTCTAGTGTCCCCAGAAATATGAGAGGTTATGTAGTACACCAAATAATACCCTCTTATTGCATAATCTAATAACATGCTTATAATAATTTAAAAATAGGGATATGACTGAAATATCACTGTACTTTACCAGGTCCCATTATAAAATATCTAGGTTACTTTACCCATAACTTTGAAAATTATTGGCATAGTATATTTTATAGAATGTTGTTAGTGTGATTCGCATGGTACAGTGCTGGGATGTAATCACTCATTAAAGTTTTCCAGCCTTACAGGTCTCCCCTGACTAAAAATCAGCTACTCACTGACTTATTTATTATAGCAGATTGACGACTTCTTTCCAGGAAATCTGCTATGTACAAAAACAAAGTTTAATTGCCAATGTTTTTTTAAAAACAACTTTTTTATATTATGGATACCTGGTAATTTGTATATTTTAACATCAAAATTACCTATTACAAACCCATATAAACAGAAAAGAAAGAGTAAGTCTTTAGGCCAAGACTTACTGCAAAGAATGATGGTACCTACTATAGCAAAGTTTGGAACATAGACTTACCAGTTCTCAGGTTCCATTTTGCTTGCTTTTTAAAAAACTATGTCTTAAACGTCTTCAGCATTTGGTTGGGAGATTTTTGGAAAAAATAACCTTTTAATGTTAGAACAGTGTAGAGATTTACAGAATGATTCTGAAGATAGAGTTTCTGTGTCCTTCACACCCAGTTTTTCCCAGTGTTAACATCTTACATTAGTTTGGTACATTTGTCACGATTAACAAACCAATATTGATACATCATTATTAACCAAAGTCCATACTTTATTCATATTTCCTTAGTTTTTCCTTAATGTTCTTTTTGTGTTCCAGGATTCCATTGAAGATACCACGTTGCATGTGTCCTTAGTAGTCATGCCTCCTTTGGCTCTCTTGGTAATGACAGTTTCTCAGACTGTTTGTTTTTGATGAACTTCACAGTTTTGAGAACTAATGGTCCAGTATTCTATAAAATGTCTCTCTCTATTTGAATTTGTCTGATGTTCCTCTCATGATTAGATTGGGTTTATGAGTCTTTAGGAGGAAGACTACAAAGGTAGAGTGCCATTTATCAAGAGTACATACTATCAACATGAGGTACTATTTGTCAGGTTTCTCCATCATAAAATTAGCCTTTATTTTTCCATTTCCATACTGTACTCTTCACATAGGAAGTCACTATGTGCAGCCAGCACTTAAGGAATGGGAAATTATCTTCCACTTCTCAGAGGGAAGAGTATTTACATAAATTATTTGGAATTCTTTTGCATGGGATGTCTTTTCTTCACAATATATGTGTTTATTCAGTCTTTTATATCAGTATGATCTCATGGATATTTTATACTCTGGGTCATAATACAATTTTACTTTATTCTGTTGTTCAAATTATTACAGCTTTGGCCATTGGGAGTTCTTTCAGTTGGCTTTGATATAACCCCATGAAAGTGGGTTTTTTGCTTGAGCACTTATTTTTGGCACTACAAGATGCTCCAGGCTCATTTGCATATCTCCTGCCTGGACCTAGAATGATGTATTTCTCCGAGGAACCTTGTTACCTTTTATTGGAGAATGATATTAGAAATCAAGAAGTGAGTGCTAGGTGTGCTCATTGCTCCTGGAGTGTCATTCCTTCAAGACTTTTTCAGTTGACAAGAGCAAGAGATATATGTTTGCACTCTCACTTGTATATATGCACATATCTATAAATATATATAACCATTTGTCTATATAGTAAACTAAATGTGTTTATACCTACATCTCCAACTCTAATCATTGCCACATAGATCATTATAGCCTCACCTCCTTGCTTATCTGTTACCTCTCATTTTTACAGTGAGAAACCTGGCTTAGTTGGGAAATTTTTCTGTTAATATTAGAGTAATGAGTGTTTGACATTTGCTTCTATGGTTAAGTTTAGGGAGAGTTTAGCTGTAGGGTATTCTTGAAACTAGAAATGACCCTTCTACCCTAAATGTTTCTGCTAGTTTTGAAACTTAAAACAGGTTGCAGAAACAAACTTTATCTTAACCAGAATTTTCTTCAATCCACATTTTAAAATTGATTTTCAGATTAAATTATTCTGATATCGCCAGGTACGCTGTTCCTTGGGTATGCATTTCTTCTTTCAGTTTTTTTTTATGAGAGCTAAAGGACCCTGAGAATACTGGAGGTGGGAAAGGAGGGAAAAGGCATGTTCACACGTGGAATAGGAAAGGTCCATTTACTGACCTTCAGCTAGCCTTTCAAAGAGCCTATTTAAGACCCAAGGAGTAGATGCCTTCTTTGGCAATTGTAACCCAAATGCAATTTTTAACCTTTCAGTTTTAGTCAAGAAAGTTGGTGTGCTGATGCAAAAAGTGCTCTGATTAACAGCATTGCCACGTGCATTGCATATGAATCAGCAATTTAGCAACATGAAATTGTGTCGAGCATAATTTTAATGTTCTATATTAAGTATTAGAGACAGTGTTTCTCAAGTCTATAAGTTTGATAGTAGGGAGGTTTTCTTTCAAGAAAAGAATTATTCAGTGTGCACCTACATAACCACCACTTAGATTCTACAATTAATATTTTGCTATATTTGATTAAATGTTTTCTGTAAAAAAAATATTATGCACCCTTTAGGTTTGTGGGAATAATTGTTGAAGTGTATGAGCAAACCTGGAAAGAAATATATAGATCTGTAATGCAACTGTAAAACATAGCAGATGTACAAATTCGTAGTTAACAGATACTAAAATGCTAATATGGTACTACTATTACGGTTTTATAGCTTCTTTTGAGGGGCATGTCTATACTGTCACACGCTGTGTTCATGTACTTCACCAAACTATGGTTTTCAAACTGCTTGAAATCCTGCTATTATAGCACATAGCAATGCTATTTGACTTTCATTTGGCACAAAACACATTTATATATTGTTTGCTCCTGTTCTTTTCTATAATCCCCAGGCAACAAAACTAGATCATTTGCCGCTAATCCGGCAATGTGTTCCTATATTATGAGGTAGTCATATAGCTGATCTAGACTATCCTTCCAGTGAAATGAGAGTATTGTAAAAGTTTTGTAGCAAGCTCCCATACCCCCCTGAGAATCCATGCACAAACCCCAGAGCTTTAAAAGATGTCTGAATTCAGGGAAGACATGGCTTTAAGTATCACTTGGCCACCTACTATTTGTATAACATTGATATAGTTTCATCTTGTGGATTGCCAGCTTCCTTAGAGAATGAAAATGTTGAATTATGCTGTTATTATTTTGAGATGGAGTTTTGCTTTTTCCCCCAGGCTGGAGTGAAGTGGCACGATCTTGGCTCACTGCAATCTCCGCCCCCCAGGTTCAAGCAGTTCTCCTGCCTCAGCCTCCTGAGTAGCTGGGATTACAGGCTCCTGCCACCATGCCTGGCTGATTTTTGTATTTTTAGTAGAGACGGGGTTTTACCATGTTGGCCTGGCTGGTCTCAAACTCCTGACCTCAGGTGATCCACAAGGATCACATAGGCCACTGCAGCTGGCCTGTGTGATTGTTAATTATCGCTTCTAGCTGTGATGATTCTGTCTGGTGCTGGAGTATTTGAACCAGATGGCTGGCGATACCACTTGATTATTATCTCCATAATACTATGATATTTTGTTGGACTGCAAAGTGACAGATTCTTAAAATTCTTGTCTGTGAATATTGAACCCTAGTGAAATGTATGGTTCTGTATCAGTTCCAAAATGTGACCACTTTCTCTAGCCTTAGATTCCCATTAAGGGAAAGGGAATGCTCCTTGATTATGTCATTACCATAGTAACAGGCAAAGCTAGAGGCTTTGATGCTGAAGCTGGATACTCCATAACTATGGTTAAGAAGATCTGGGGAGACTGGAATAGTTGTTTCCTTTAGATTCCAGTGTATAAATGAATTTGAGCTAGGATCCATTGATTTAAAATTTCTTTAGGTAAATTTGCTTGCACATGGAGGGCACATTGACTCTGATTTATGGAGTTTCAGGAAGCAGTAGAACAAATGCATAAACATGTATGAACAGCCATGTTTAACTGGAAGCCTGCATTTGGAAGTGAAGTATCTAATCTTAGATTAAATCAGGATAGACAAGGATGTTGGCAAGGATATTTTGAAGCTTGTTCTGGTCCTGTTGAGAACGTCATAGAACAGTTTAGCCTTACTAGACATCTTAGCAAGAGAATAGAGTCGAATAAGTGATCTTCCATATATTCCTGTTGGTATTGCCATAAAGGTTTCCTCATGATACAGTAATCCCTGATCAGGGATCTAGAAGCCTGTATTCATTTAAGGTCCTCAGGTTTAACATACCGGGTGCTTTTCAACACCACACCACACCATGCAAAGTGCTTTCAAGGCTACAAATTTGGCTTAGATCCGCTTTAGTGAGCTCCTATGCTTTAGTAACGGTAGATGGCCAATTATTAAAAACAATGAAGACAATTGCACCTCTAGGTAGTAGTAGCAATTGCCACGTTACCTTGAATCTTGAAGTATTTTCAGCAACAGGATGACCATTAGCCACAAATTTAGTGTCAGTCCTTAAGGTGGATATTGGTTTGACCAATATTTTCATGTAGTTCTATTTCTTGTCTAATCATCACGCGATACCGCCAGGGCTTGTTATTACAGGACCTTAGGGAAATCAAGCAGGCTAGAAAGTAGAGACAAGGTATACCTATGTCTTAATGCTTCAGGTTATACTTTCTAGGTTTTTTTGTTGGGGTTTTTGTAACACTTTTGGTATCCAACTGGTGCTTTTGGTAGCCTACTGAGCCCTGTCTTTCTTCTCAAGGACATTCTGAGTATGTGAGACCTGAAGACTGCAAACATCTTTAAGAGGCTCCAAATTCAGCAGATCTTTCCCTTTGAGAATCTGGCCAAGCTCCAGCTAATCTACCTGGATGGGTTGCCGACCACCTGGAGAAAAAGGTACTTTGGGGAATTTATTGTTGTAGGGCTTCTGTCTTTGGCTTTAACTTCCTACTACTCTCCTTTTAAAGCAGACACATCTGGTCACGGTGGCTCCTGCTTGTAATACCAGGGCTTTGGGAGGCTGAGGTAGGGGGATCGCTTGAGGCTAGGAGTTCAAGACCCCCTATCTCTACAAAAAATAAAATAAAATTAGCCAGGCATGGTGACGTGTGCCTGTAGTCCTACCTACCTTGGAGGCTGAGACAGCAGCATTGCTTGAGCCCAGGAGTTGTTCAAGGCTGCAGTGAGCCATGATTAGCCACTGCACTCCAGCCTAGGTGGCAGAGTGGGACCTAGTCTCTTGAAAGAAAAGAACATGAGCCAGTTTTAATCATTTCCTATACTTTTTCTTTTGCATATACACATACATTTTAACTTTTCATAATTAGTTTAGCCTGTTTCATTTATCCCTCAGAGCTGGGCTCCATCGAGGTCTGTAAACGCAAGCATACTTGATCCCCATTTCATAAATGAAGAATGAGAGATGGAAAGCAATAAATTATTTCCTTTCTCACCACATGGCTAGTTAGCAAGAGAGATAATGAACTTAACACCTTTTGATTAGTGGACTTAAATTATTCCCACTTTCCTTTGGCGGGAGGGTATTAAGTTCTCAGGATTTGTTTACGAATAATACTAACTTCATCTGTGTTAGCTCTGTTTTCGTAGGCCTAATTCCATTATCACTGCCATTTCCTTGTTTTAAGAAGTTGAAATTTTAACTTGAAAAACAATTGAAATTGTTAAAAAGTGGAATAGGAGAGCCCAGGAGGAGCTGTATAAGGAATTTACCGAATCTCTAGTCTTCTGTACCTTGTTTTTCCTTCTGCGTAGATTTGCTTAGCTGCTGTTATAACTGGAGTTCTATATGCTTGTGACCATTCTTGGTTTCTCCGAATATCCTAGAACTTTGGTGGTGCCCTATTATACAGGTTGTTGAAGAAATGTTACCATGTGGATTGTGTAGAAAACAATTCTCTTTATCTTGGCAATATTATGGTATGGCACTATTTAAAGTACAAATTAAAAGAGAGGAATGCTGTAAAACTAGCTGACAGGCACTTTGATTGAGGTGGATTGCTCAGTTCTTAAAATAGTGCTTTATAAAAGAAGCCAGAGGCAATATGGAGGAGAATTCTTACAGGATTCATAGGGTTAGACCACACTGGACCTTTTCTGTGTAGCTTCATGACTCTCTTGGTTGAGAAAGCATTAGCTTCTCTTTCCATTAGTTTCAACCTCTTGATTTCTTGACACCCCCCCCATTATATTTTGTGCTTAGAACACAAGGGCATTAATAATCCACACTCTAGAGGATCGCTTATTAATAAAGACTGGAGAATAAAATGCAGCATGGAAGTATTGGTAATTATTCAGTTCTAAATTGCTCTTGGAAATGAGGGAAAGCATACAGAATACAGCTGTGACGAATAGGAGAATTCTTTTGCTAGGCTGGTAGCTAGAATACAACAGCTCGGCACAGCTGTAAATGTCCACTCCTCAATCCACATGAAGAAAAGGGTAAACGTGGTTGAACTCAACCACTAGTTGCCCATTCGGACAGACTTTCCCAGTGTACTACATTTCAATACTTTTTCCTCAGAAGAATAGGCTTGTTGCTTTATACAGTGTTAGTGACCCATTCCCTTTGACGATCCCTAGGTGGAGATGGGGCATGAGGATCCTCCAGGGGAAAAGCTCACTACCACTGGGCAACAATCCTAGGTCATGAGGTTCTGTCAAGATACTTTCCTGGTCCCAGATAGGAAGATAAAGTCTCAAAGACAACCACCACATGTCAAGGTGCGTAAGCTGTCCCTAAAAGCATAATCAGTAGTCTTAATTTTGATTTTGTTTTCCAGTATACATTGCATTTAGCTTTTCACTGAGGTTGTATTCATCATTATCCTGCGTATGATTTGGTAAAGACAGCTTCGTAACTAACCTGGGAAGCAACTGGGTGTGAGATTGGTGGTTAAAGTGATTATGTAAAGAGTGTAGCAGGTTGTATGTGTTTGGGTGTATGGAGTGGGACTATAGCATGTGGTAGAGGCTTACAGCTAAATTGTTCTTTCTTTTAGGAGAACATGGACAACTGTCACATCAGTGACACTGATCACATGGGCAAATCATTCTGTTCCATCTGGTCTCCAAAGTCTCTCTTAAAGCCTTACAGAAAAACTTTGCTGGTCATTTACATACTTCAAGATGGCCTGGGATGCCATGGGTTACAACACAACAAGTGAGAGGTATGTCTTTTTATGCTATGGTTGCTGATTCATGGAGGCCGCATAAATGGAAAAGGGCATCTGACTAAAAATGGCACAAAGTTATCTGTCATCAGGCAGGAGCTTAAAGAACCAGGAACCTATATTCTCTAGATCAGTGATGGGAGAGGCTGATTATCGAGTGAGGACTGGCAAATAAAGGTGACTCATTCAGTGCAGTAAATCCTGATCATACAGGCTTTGCCCAGCATTTTTCATAAAGAGTGGGTACGTATAAATTTCATGAAATATTTTCATGGGTAAGAACTCATGAAATATTATAATGGACTAGAAAGACCCGTAGATTTAGAAATAGAGAAAGTTACTAACAGAAATTGTTAGGAAGCCTAGGAACTAGAAAGCTAAGTTGAGAGTTATCTAGGAAGATCTGTTGTACTCAGAATCTTTAGGAAAATTCTCCTAAGGCCAGTACCCTATGTGAATTTTCTTTTTCATTTTTGGATTTTAGCTGAAATGTTAAACAACCTATGTGAATTTCCTTATTGTGAGAATATTTGCCTCCCAGAGTGATTCACCTTTATCTCAAAGAGAAATATTACGAGTTTTGGAAATGCTGCTCTATGGCTGTGTTTTGTTAGTCCTGAACCAGGAGACTTAAATAAAGTAAACTTGAGGTGGTCCTAAAACATTGAAGTGAGCCTTAAACATTGAAAAGACCTTATCATTTTTCCTCTCATATCTATTGTTTATTTTTGTGATCTCAGTTATTAATCATTTAAAGGGACTCTTTTCTAGCTGATTAGCACTTAAAACAGGATTCTAGTCGTTAACTAAAGGTATAAGGCTATGACTGGTGGTGGTGTCTCTAGTGACTCATCAAGTGATACTTGACAAGATATTTTCCCATTTATGCCAGTTTCCTGTTCTTTGAATGAGGAAATTTTCTCTCTAAAGACCTGAAAGTTTTGACTTTATAGGTTTTAAAGTTTTGTGGAAACATTTTCTGTTGCTTATTAATTTGAATCTTAGGTAACTCTAGCACAGTATTCAATACTTATGGCATTTACATGGTTTATCTGATGTTTTTTTATAGCTCTTCATCGTTCCTATTTGCCAGATCATTATCCTTCCTACAAGCAGTGCAGAGAGCTGGGTCTTCAACAGGTCCAAGAAACTTGAACATGCTGAAAGAAGTCAGCCTTCTTACCTGAAGATCAACACACATGCCTGGCACTCGAGCACTTAAGGATAGTGGAATGAAGTAAGTTTTTGGTGTTGCATTCCTGTGGGGATCACTTCAGAACTGTTAAAACAGCTGTTTTTTGGGAGCCAGTGTTGGATAGGGTGTGTTGGTCTAATGTTAAATGGGGCTAAATGTGAGATAGGAAGATGACCAGTCTTCCATGTTACCGACTGGGTTCACTGAAGCAACTCAAAGACATTACAGTCTTCTTACCAGTTGTATCACAGAATAATTTAGCCTTTGCTTGTGTGTTCTATGTCTTCACTGTATAGGCCCTCTGTCATTCTTAGAGCCTTAAACATTGAAAAGCTTAAAACACAATTTCCACTTTCTGCGGAAAGGGTAACCCTTTCTCATCTCCATTTGTGAGAGACTTTATCGTCAGTTAAGATTAGTGTAAAAAGAAAACTAAACTCTGAAGTAGCCATTATAAAAGTGTGAGAATGAAGTCAGTTTTTTAAAGAGTTGGGGGAAGGTGATGCTAAAGGAAGGGATTGACCAAGTCCTATCAAAGAGCCCTTTATGAAAATATTTAGTCATCTGTGACATCCCACTTGGCTCTTCCAGAAATCCTAGTAAATAGTTGTAACAGAATGTTAAGAGGCACACATTGTGTGTTTTAAAGTCTCTGGTAGACTTACCTGCTTGTGAGTGTTAAATGAAATCATGTATGTATAGTGTTCACCTAGTGCAGTACCTGGCACATGGCAAGTAAAAGCTAATCCAAGAAGACTCATAAGTTCATTTCACGCAATATAAGTGATAACTAGCACTATCAGGTACCAGGCAGAGTTGGCATGCTCTGGTTCTATGTAAGAAATCCCTAAGGTAAAAGTTTGTAAATAGAAGAACATCTGTGTTGGTGTTGGTGGTTGTTACAATTATTATTATTGTAGTAGTATAAGTAGTGTTGGTAGTAATAATAGCTTATTATAATTACTAATGACACTTTTTGTTTTTTTTTTAACCTTTTGTGATGCTTTTCATACCTCTTGTGCCCCTCACAGTGTCTTGTCTCTTCTGCTACTTACTACCTCTGAATGTCTGCATTTGCTTATCTCTTGCTCTCGTGTGTATTTCTTTGTCTTTGTTCTTTCTTTTCTTTGTTCTTTGTCTCTCTATATTTCTTCCTTGTCTTTGTTGTTTGTTCTCTATCTAAAGTGTGTTTTACCCATTTCCGTGTTTTTTCTTGCTAATTTCTTTCATGTGTGCCTTTGCCTCATTTTCTCTTGTTCACAAAGAGTGGTCTGTGCCTTGTCTTAGACATAAGTCTCATTTTTCATTTTGTTGCTGTTTCTCTTTGTTTTCCTAGATGTGGCTGTTCTTTCACGCTTTATTTCATGTCTCCTTTTGGGTCACGTGCTTTGTGCTTTTTGTCCGTTTCTTGTTCTGCCAACCTCTCCTTTCTCTGCCTACCTCTTTTTTCTCTTCATGAACTGTGACTATTTGTTATCCCTTCCCCTTATTTGTTGTAAATTTCACCTTTTTCTGAGTCTGGCCTCCTTTCTGCTGTTTCTACTTTTTAATCTCACATTTCTCATTTCTGCCTCTCTTGGGCTATTTTCTCTCTTTCCTCCCCTGTGTTCCTCTGTGTCTCTTGCTGTTTGTGATTTTCTATTTCAGTATTAATCTCTGTTTGTTTGTGTTTCTTCTCTGCTTCTTCCCTTTCTACTCACCTTTGAGTATTTCAGCCTCATCATGAGTCTGTCTCCCTCTCTTTGATTTCATGTATTCTTTTCTCCTTAAATATTTCTTTGCATATGTGGGCATGTGTACATGTGTGTGTGTCATGTGTGGCAGAGGGGCTTCCTAACCCCTGCCTGATAGGTACAGAACATTGGCTATCAGAAGTAAGCATTATGGAGTGGTTCCATATGCCAGGCTGCCGTGTGAGATGATCCAAGACCAAAACAAGGCCATAGAATCCAGACTGCAGTAAAACCCAATACTCAAGTAGCACGGAAGGTGAAAGGCTCATATGGATAGAAGGCCCAAAGTAGAAGACAGATGGTTTGAAACTTGAGACTCAGACTAAGATGGAAAGCCCATGTTCCAAGATATATAGAAGCCTCTGTCCTGAAACCAACAAAAGCCTCAAGAACCAAGGAAACAGAGGGTGGCCTGGATCGGACAGAAGGCCTGAGTTGGATGGAATGTTCAAGTCTTGAGTTAGAAGGCTTAAGACCTGGAATATGACACGTACGTGGAAGGCCTGAGACTGAGACTTGTGACACAAGGCCAAAGACCTAAGATTAGCCCCAGGTTGTAGGTGGAAGACCTACAACCCAAGGATGGAAGGTTCCTGACACAAAGCCTACCTAGATGGATAGAGGACCCAAGTGAAACAGATATCTCAAGACTAAAGGCCAGAATCTGGAGGCCCATGACCCAGAACCAAGGAAGAATAGAAGCTTGAAGACCCGGGGAAATCCCAAGATGAGAACCCTAAACACCACCTCTTTTCTATTGTTATACTTCTTACTCTTAGATATTTCCAGTTCTCCTGTTTCTCTTTAAGCTTGATTCTTTTGAGATGTTCTTTTTGATATTGCCAGTTACCTTAAAGGAACATATCTTTAGGTTGACAGTATTATGCTTGGGCCAGTCTGGAGCCAGTTTTAAATCACAGTTTTTACCTCTTTGTTAGGCTTTAGTGTTTTGTAAACTTCTGTTTCTATTCACATCTACTCCACTTGAGAGAGATACCAAAATCGAGTCAGTATCTAATCTGGCTTTTGTTATTCCCCTCAGGAGCAAGCATTCATATAGGTGATATTATATTTCAGTCTTCCCTTTTAATCTCAGAAGCCCTAGACTGATGAGAAGATAAAATGGTCAGGTTGTTGGGGAAAAAATGTGCCAGGCTCTCTAGAGAAAAATGTGAAGAGATGCTCCAGGTCAATGAGAAGAATTAGACAAGAAATACACAGATGTGCCAGACTTCTGAGAAGCACGTGCCAGCAACCGCTTCCTTCTTTGAGCTTAGGTGAGCAGGATTCCTGGGATTTGGGATTTCTAGTGATGGTTATGGAAAGGGTGACTGGACTTGGGACAAAGTGAGGTCCCAAAGAGACAGCCTGAACTCCCTGCTCATAGTAGTGGCCAAATAATTTGGTGGACTGTGCCAACCCTACTCCTGGGTTTAATACCCATCTCTAGACTTAAAGATGAGAAAACCTCGGACTATTTAGCACATTTAATACTTTCCTTGATTTTTTTCTTCCCATTTATGTGGGAAGTTGATTTAAATGACTGATAATGTATATGAAAGCACTGTAAAACAGAAAAACCAAGGCGTGCTCCTTAATAGTGTATTGGGAATCATGCACAGTTAACATTTGAAAGTGCAGTGTAAGTTGTGAAGCATTATGTAAATCAGGGGTCCTCAGTTTTTCTGTAAGTGGTCAAATCATAAATACTTTAGACTGTGGGCCATATGGTTTCTGTTACATATTCTTTTTTTAAACAACCTTTTCATAAGGTCAAAATCATTCTTAGCTTTTGAGCCAGTTGGATTTGGCCTGCTGTTCATAGCTTACCCACCCCCTGATGTATTATTTGTTTTATTCAGAGAAAATGTCTGACTACTACTGATTTCCTTTTCTATCTCTGTCCTGTGCTAGGCACTAAAAATGCAGTGATTTGTGATCACATCCAGGTGACCTGAAGAAAAATAGTGAATGTGCTTTGTAAACTATAAAGCACTTGTATTCTATTGTGATAATCATTGTGGACACAAAGAAAGGAGCAAGCAAGAAAAAGTGCTCTTTCAAAAAGATCTAGTGCTATGCAGATGCTAGAATTAAGTGTTTGATAAATGAATAAATTGTATGTATTTTGAGGCTAATTTGTTTCTGCTGCTCTGGTGATTTTGACTAAAAATGCAGTATTCCAGGTATCAGAAATGAAAACACATGGAAGCTGCTTTTAAACTTTAAAATATACTGAAAACAAGGGACTAAGCTTATTGTGGTCACCTATAGTGTGCCAGATACCATTCTGGGCACTAGAGATCACAAAGGGGAAAAAATGTTCTCATAGAGCAAAAAGTTTCAGAAAGGTGCATATTAAAGTCCTTTGTAAACTAAAGCACAATACAAATGTCAGTAGGCTACATATTTATGAATGAATGAATATTAACTGCCTCTTACATACCAGCTATTGTTTTTGGTTCTGTGAAATACAAGATTAATTCTCCTATGTAATAGGAGGAAAATTTATCCTCTATACTATTTCGATGTAAGGAATGAGATACTGCTTAAAGAGTGAAGACTTTAGTGGTGAGGTCAAGTTAAATTATTACTGGTATATTTTCCCAGGTCACCTGGGAGGAGATAGAATGAGGAAATGAAGCAATAGATATGAGATCCAGACCAAAAGTCTCCTGTAAGATAGGTATTGTCTCTACAAAATTCTCATTGTATACTTAAACCACAATGAGAAGGGTTCTATAAGTAGTTATACAAATTAAGGGTTTAAATACCTGTTAAACGGATCAATTTTGATTGCCTACTATGTTAACTCACTGTTAAAGGCACTGAAAATTTATCATATTTCATTTACCCACAGCCAAAAATAAGGCAATACCTATGTTAGCATTTTGTGAACTCTAAGACACCATATAAATGTAACTATTGATTTTCTCACTTGGTGCTGAGTACCAGGTTTATAAAATTGTATGATAGTTGTTACATTGTGCAAATAAAGCAGGAAATTTTGAGTAACAATGATTAACTTTTAAATATTCATATGCAAGGGGTTGTCTGAAGTATAGTAGTTAACGATTGTGTGCCAATCTCATTGCTAGGCAATGGGGAATGCAAAGATAAACCATCTTTATTGTGTTCTGGGTAGCAGAAGAAAATATGTGTAAAATCAATTTATAATTTCTAAACTGCCACCCATATATAAGCAATATCTGCTGAATGATCATTGACCAGTCTTATCCTTAGAGATAAGAACTGGGGCACAAAAATTTATTATCATTATTGAACGTACAACAGAAACCTACTTGTAAATTTACAAAGTCTACAGTTCTATACAGATAGGAATGAACTACTGGTTTACTGAATGGTGATTACTTTCTGTGGGGCTCAGAACTACATGTCCTAGGATATAAAAATGATATTATCATTATGGAGTGCTCACAGAAGGAAATGAAGTAATTAATAGGTATGAGATCCAGACCAAAAGTCACTTAACAGGCTTATTTAGTGATGAAAACATGGGATAAATGGACTTGTATAAGGCAGCGTACTAAGCTAAGTAGAGAAATAAAGTCCTGTCCAGAAGGATACATGCTCCCTGGCCTGACTGAAGAGATGGAAATTTTTTGCAAAAAGCAAGATATTGTAGTCTTCCATCCAGTTTCTTAAATGCTGGTGATAGAAATGAATTAGACCCACCTTGGCCTGTCTTACAGGCAGTAAAGGAGTAAAAATAAAGGCCTCAGGTTTGCTTTTTTATTTATTTGATTAAAAAAAGCACCTTTTATGTGGAATATGCCATTCTGGGTCCTGAGGATAAGAGATCACTGACAGCTGAAGATAGAAAATATATCTTTGGTTTGATTGTGTAAATAATATTTCAGTGCCTAGTCTCTGCAAGGCATTATGCTTGGTAAATTAGTAAATTAAATAGGTCTGGCCCGGAAGACCCATTCAATTGCCTTTGAGATTAAAAAAAAAAAAGAAAAAGGCAAATTTCTTTCAAAATAAAGAGACATTTTTCTTAGTTTCAGGAATCCCTCAAATCACTTGCTCATTGGCTTAGTTTGAAGCCAGGAAACTGATAAAAGGGCTCAGGGTTTGTTAATGTTTAATTCATAAATTAAACATTCTGTTCTTATTACAGTTAAATGATTCAAGATTAAACAACTAGTTTTAAAGGTATTTGCTCATTGACCTGGCTTAGAGACAGGAAGACATTTGAGCAACGAAAAAGATTTTTTTACATTTATCATATTTAGTAAAAATTTATTAAAACTGAATAAAATGCTGTTCTTAAGTGCTTTAAAGACCCAAACCAAAATGCACTTTATCTCATCTTATGGTGGAAACATAAGAGCAAATTCTATAAGAGATTGTGTTTCTTTCTTTAGTTGAGAAAAAACTTCATTGAATAGCTGTGGTATGTTCAATGCTAAGGAAAAATTAAACAGACTATCTTTGGCATGCTCTGTAGAGTCGGAATAAGAGGGCTTTTTATTTTTTCATTCATATGAATATTGATAAAGATGATATTAAATGCTAAATGAAATATATCTGCTCCAAAAGGTATTTATTCTGACTCAGAGATGCAAGAAAAGCACAAGTGATACTCTACATCAAACAGAAGTCACTGTTACGTCAACCACTGTGTTAAATCCTAGACAGAAAACAAAAAAGATCATTACTAAAAGACAATTGCTTATTAATTGGCTTGGAGACTAGAATATAGGAGAAAGGTTAGTTTATTATTAGTTTTAATTTATTCATTCATTCTACAAATATATTTGTGTGCCAGTAGTACTTGGTATAAGGTTTTTGGTAGGTTCTTATTTGGCCCCAGAGACATGGGGAAAAAAAAATGCATGTTCCCAGAGAACGCCTGGTGCTTTCCTTTTGGCCTGCTTTCTTGTTAGGGGCATGGCTTAGTCCCTAAATAACATTATGTTGTTTAATTCCTACTCCATATCTCTTCTACCACTCTGGCCACTACAATAAGCAGGTAGCTGGGTTTTGTAGTGAGCTTGCTCCTTAAGATGCAGGAACTCTCCTTATAAGACAGTTGATTTTCCTAGCCCATCCCTCATGAAAAATGACTGACCACTGCTGGGCAGAAGGAGGGATGATGACCAACTAATTCCCAAACCCCAGTCCCGTTGGTACCAGTCTTGGGGAACCACCTATACTTGAGGCACAGTTGGTTTTTGAAGTGCATTTACAAGATTTGTCTGTCTTCAGTTTTTTACTTTTTACGTGCTGACACATACATACACTGCCTAAATACATCTCTTTCAGAAACAGTCTTCAGATAACACATAGCAGAATGGAGATGGAGACATGATTTCTCTTGCAACAGCTTCTCAACTTATATCTTAGAAATGTTCTCCTTTTTAATCATTAAATTTGCTCAAGAAGGGCATTTTATAGTAGAATAATATCTGGATGAAAACAGCTTAACATTTTACCATGCTTAAGTTTTAAGAATAAAATAAAAATTGGAAATAATTGGCCAAAATTGAAAGGAAACTTTTTCTTAAAAGTTCTCTAAATGTAGGCCTGACTGGGCTTTGACCTTTTCCATTTTTAAATCACTCACAGAGGGTGGGACAGGAGGAAGAGTGAAGGAAAAGGTCAAACCTATTTCTAAGGGCAGCCTTCCTTTGTTCTGAATTGGCCTTAAGAACATTAGCTGCTCAAGGTCTAAATTGTTTCATGCAGTTCCAATAACTGATAATTGTTGAGATGAGAACAACATTCTTGGTCCTCACTAGTTTGCTTCACATTTTTGAAAAGTAATTATTTTTGTCCAGTTGCTTATCAAATAAACCTTGTGTTAGATAAGAATGGAATGTATTAAGTGAATCAGTGTGACCCCTCTACTGTAAAATTATCTTAAAGCTGAAGCCAAAATTGCTTCAAAGGAAGACTTTATTGTTCATTGTAGTTCATACATACTTTCAAAGCATCTAAACTGTAGTTTTCCATGGCAAGCCAATTACATCCATAAGTGGAGAAGGAAATTGATAAATGTCAAAGTATGATTGGTGGAGGGAGCAAGGTTGAAGAGAATCTGGGCTTGAAATTTTCTAGTTTCCATTCTATACATTTTTAGACATCAGATTTGAAATATTAATGTTTCTCTTTTAGTGTGTGGTATCAGCTGGACTCAGTAACATCTCTTTCTTCAGGTGGGGATGGGGAATGCATTATTGGAAAATGGAAAGAAGAAAGTAACTAAAAAGCCTTCCTTTCACAGTTTCTGGCATCACTACCACTACTGATTAAACAAGAATAAGAACATTTTATCTTCATGTGCTTTATTCACATAAATGAAGTTGTGATAAATAAATATGCTTTTATGCAGACACAAGGAATTAAGTGGCTTCATCACTGCCGTTCAACCTCAAAGAGAATTTATTCCAGAATGCTAAGATAAATGGAAATGGAAGACTCTTGAATTTGTGAACTGATATGAAATGCAGAATCTCTTTTGAATCTTTGCAGTTTTGAAGACTGAAAAACATTGTTCAGCATGTGTGACCACCAAAAAGCAATCTTAAGCCATCTAGATGTCAAAACTGAAGCAAACTGGGGAGTTGGTTGCTATTGTAAAATAAAATATACTGTTTTGAAAACTTGGTATTTTGATATGACAATGTCTCACTATCCCTTCCTAACCACACTAATTACCCTAAGTTTTTTTGTTGGTTGGTTTTTTTTTTTTTTGGAGATGGAGTCTCACTTTGTTTCCCAGGCTAGAGTGCAGTAGTGCC